CTGACGAATAATTATTACTGCGAATAAAACGTTACTAGTACAAATTAAGTTTTCACTACGTATTCTACCAACTCTGCTTTCTACCTCTTGTGAAAGACTACTATTTAATATTAAATTCTGTAATTGTTCAACTTTATTTCATTTACACCTGAGCGTAGCACAATTACGCTCAAAATGTTGTTACATTGTAAACAATCCTCAATATTGCAAGATTAGATCTTTTGCCTGATTTTTATAACACCCATATGGAAACTATAGACAACTAAAACAGAGTTTACATTTGATACCGAATAAGGCAGTGTAAATTGAGACCTGAACTTAACATCAGTTATTTTGAACCATAATTCGTCGCTTATGGCGAAAAACTGATCAAATGTATCAACTGGGTCAACATGATTAGGTTACTAGTGCCTGTGATTTAAGTGATATGGCACTGCATTACCGTCTAATAACTGATTGACCAAACACGACTAACTTCATAGTACTCACTTTTCGTATGTTTCAAGGAATTTAGTTTCCATTACATTTAAAGTTGTTCTCAGTCCAGTTGTGTTTATTCCATGAAGGTTGGACTTCATAGTTTTTAATAAATCGAGCAATTGACACAAAGTTAACAATAAATATAGTTTCTTTATATTGTAATGCGTTGAAAAATTGTGTTTTTGATGTTTTATGACCTCATATAAGTCATTTCATTAGATTAGTGGCTTATATCAAGTCACGTAATGTCACAAATACATTTTGCCTACTCATTGGGATATAACGAAAAATATATTTATTATGATCCTTTTTTCATTATTATGTAAGTAGTCAACTTGATACTCAATGTATTTTACGTCAGCATGCATAATATTGTCAGTGTTATTTTTAAAACAAAACAAAAAAAGAATAGATATATTTTATTTTAATTATAGAAAAATCTATATTAATTGAAAAGAAATAAATAATACAATATATTTATCGATTTGATTTAATTTCAGAAATCGTTCTAACCTTTCTTTGTGATAAACATAATATATATATTCTTCTAAATCATGTAATAAACTAATTTTCAATTATCAATCATATAACTTTTTCGTAAGCAAAAATGGATAGTGGCTAGCATTGGGATCTAGTATGACGCGCATTTCGTCCTATTTGGGACTCGTCAGCTGGATGTACCTGCATCTCAGAGTTGATGTTCACTCTGAGATTCGAATCCAGTAACTTTCAATTCAAACGCCATCGCATTATCCACTCAGCTACTGAGTCCTGATAGCCACTTGCTTGTTCAATAGGGGTGAAGTTTAAATTCACTTAGTATTGTTTGTTTGACTTACCAGTTCCAGTCCTAAACCTCCATGGAAATATTCAAACAAACAATACATGGAACTTTTTATTTATTCAAATAAATTTCTTTTCACTACGTCATAGCAACAACAGAAAATAATGGGCATGAAAAATAAATTATCAATATATATATATATATATGTATATATATATTACTGTTTCTATCTCACTCACTTGAATTAATTTGGTTTTCTCTTTTTTTTTCTTTCTTTTTTGTGTATAATTAATAATGACATTATTGATTATACTTTGATCAACTATTTCAATTTCAAATAAAAGATATAAATTGAAACAGTATAGATTAATCGATAAATATAAACACATATATTTCATAGTTATTTTTTTTAAAATAAAAATCTAATGTAGAAATTCATCTATTCATAATAAATTATCATTTCAGATCAATGAAAATAATAAATTTATTTTAAAGAAACTCATTTTCATTAGTAATTTTCTTGTACAATTATAGTTGATTGAGTAGTTAAGTATTATATTACTATTGAATGTATTCTAAATATTATCTATGGTTGATTAATATATTCACACTATTAATGTAAAAGGAAAAGAAACATTATTATATGATAAACATGAATAAACTAAATTTTTACAATAGGAATATTTTTTCCATTGAATAGTTCAATAATTATTGCTTTAAAGTGATGAAGAAGAAATGTTACGATTATTGTACCCTTCCCTCACTCTTTCTCTCTCTCTCTCTCTATATATATATATATATATATATAATATTCATGGTTGTGTTTGTCCTGGATTTAAGCATTGAATATCATGTAATGTAATAGAAATGTGTGTTCTTTATATGATTTGATTCAAATCTATATATTATTAACCGAAAGAAATAAGTTAATTAGATCAACGTTTAGTAAGGTAATAAACTGTTCAATGTACATACTGATAATCAGAAATAATTGAAAGCGTGAGTCAAGTGAAGCTAGACCACCATGGAAAACCTGGAAACACTGGACGGCCGTTTCGTCCTATTATGGGACTCCTCAGCAGTGCGCATCCACGAACCCGCTCTCGCGAGATTTGAACCCAGGACTTACCAGTCTCGAGCCGAAGCCCTTAACCGATAGACCACTGAGCTGGCATCCAACGGTGTTAATGTCTAACTTCAACCGATCCACGAAGTTGAGCTTTAATAAATGATAAAATATTAAGGCTCTTGTTATTTCTATTCAAAGAGCTATTGGTATTGTTGTTTTAACCAACTACTATTCATTTTGGGTTTTATCCAATCTGCTTCTTATATCTTGATACATTTATTTAAACTTTTTATTTCTAAAATATTTTTTTTTAGATTTACTTGGAATCGCGATGGATTTTTCTCTTGGCTACTTGGTCGAAGTTATGCTATTATAGAATGGACAGTTAGTTCAATTGATGGTATATGTATACCTGGTACCTATAGAATAAAACATTTCGGTACATCTAAAAATATATTTGGGCGAAAAACACACTTTTCTGGTGTAACAAATAATTTCACAGTATTATGCGAACACACTGACGAAGATACATGAATCCAAACGAACACTGAATATGAAAATAGTATTGAAAATTTTAGTTTTAGTTTCATTTATCTGTGTATCCTTTTTTTGATCTTTAATATTTTGATGTTTCATTTATTCATTTGAAATAGTTTTTTTTCTAATACATGTTTAAAAGGCCACATATTTCTTTAAATAAAATATATTTTACAATATTACAGATGCTTACGCAATCAGTATTCATTTTAAAGTTACCATTCCTGTCTTTCTTGATGTATTATTCACTTATATGAAGTTTGTTGATTCAACTACACAATTCTTTTTATCAGTTGTTTTGAATTATTAATTTTATGTAACTTTTTGATCACCTTGAAGTTCCTTCCGTTTTTTATATATGACATTACTTATTGGTTTGATAACAATATCCAAATCTCATTTTCTTCATGTAAGAAAATTTCTAAAAAGGTTCTTTGAAGGTTTACATTATCATTGATATTAAATAAATAAATTAGATTAAACTTACGTAACGGTTCAACTTTGAAGAGAATTTGCTCTAATTATTACCAAGATTAATGTATTATCATAAACAAAATTGGAATCATCGACTATTTTACATTTTGTCTGTGTTTTCGAAGTTTTTATTAATACGACTGATTTAATCAAACAAAACAAACTTATAAGGTACTAGATTACTCTATATTTCATTCATCAGTTTTGTTTAAACTCTTAAGTAAATTGGTTCAGAAAATGAACTAAATTTATTACAATAGTTCTTATCAATGACATATTGCTTTGGTTTACATTACCAGTAAATAAAAAAACCATGATTAGTCTAAGATTTCAAGTTATCTAACTAGTTTTCAAATCGGAGCAGTCAAGTAAGGTCGTTGAGAACGCAATGTTATAGGCCTGAAAAATTATTTTCCAATAAAAAATGATCAGTGTTAATTGTATGTATATTCAGTGTGGAAAAAAGAGTAAAACGTTATACACAACGTTAATTACAAACAGATAGTAGAAAACTTTGCAGGCTGCAAATGTCAAAGACTAGTGATCACCTTATTTTTATTCAATTATTCAGGCTGATATCCATCGGTAGAGACTGCATTAGCATGGCAGACCAGAGATGAAATTTTTCTACGACTAACTAGTTTAAGAAACCTATGTAGTACAAATCGTTGGTCTAGGTCGAACAAAAACCCAATGATTTAGATAACCAAGGACATCAAGCAGTTGAAAGGTTGATTCCCTGTTTCCTTATGTAAATAATTCTTGCAGCAACCAGCCTTCATTTTAAAGCAATGTAATCGATCCTACGTTATACATCTACCTACCACTAAACATCGTAATAAATGAAACCTTGAATGATTTTCGACGTATTTCCAAGTTTGCATCAATTTCAATTAGCCTTTTTGCTCCATTTATCAATTCATCTTGTAACTGCGAAATGTTCTGCTCATAGTATTGGACTATTCTCAGTTTTATTATTTTAAAGTTCGCTAATTTATTTGGTTTAAAATCAGTTGTTTGACAAGTGCCACCCAACGCGATAATGAATGATTTATTTTCCTTATTATTTATCCCCCCTGGTTCAGTTACAAAAATTCTTGGTTAGTAGAAGATAGATATTAGTTTCATTGATGCAACTATGATTGTGTTTTGGAACATAAGCAGTAACAAATTGAGACTTGAGATAACAATATTATGCTACTGAAAATTCCCACCTAGTCACATCATGATATGAGTTATGGTGGAGATATTTTTATCAACATTAGTATTCATTGAGGAAGACCAAGCAAAATAAAGAAATTAGACATAGCAAAATATATACAACCGTCAAGTGAGTATACTTAAAAGTACAGTATCGGACTCATAAAACAATGAAGAGTTATATTTCTCAGCATAATGATCCCGTCATTCTAGAGACAGTCAAATCACAACATCAATCAAGAGAATGACGAACTGGTTACTGTGATCTATGCAAACAGTTGCAAAGTTTCCGACTTACTTCACAGAAAGAACTGTAAACTATGCTTGCAAACATTAAGTTCGAAATAGATCACAATGACATATATATATATATATATATATGCTAAATCCTAAATGGTTTTCATCATTTTGTTTGTTTAGTCGATCACTGATGAATTGGGTAATAAGAAAAATGCATTTCTTCCAAATAATGGTATGAATTATTTCACTTTGAAAACAATGACGACAAAAAAACAAAACTACTCTCTTTGTTAACCAATTGATGAAATCGGGGAAAAAACCGAAAGAATTTTATCAGGTTAAATTAATCTTAATTTACTTATTGTTTTTCAATGAATTATAATTACATTCTCATGAAATAAGAAGAAACACTCGGATATTATAAGTTTTCATTAACAAATTAATTAATGTATGTTAAATATATTTAAACTAGACATAATTCTGTATACATGCACAACATAGAAACAAAAGATACAACGACGATAACATTCATTCATATATTGGACATAAACACACACACACACATATGTTAAGTATTAAAAAACAAAACAGAATTAAAGTATATAAACATCAGTGTCAAATACAATAATTTTGCCGCTGTTCAATTTAACAATTGTGAATGATTGTATAAAAGATGTACGATAATAATTTATCATTTCCGTTAATTATTTATAATCAAAATAAGAAGAACAAGAAAAACGTCTGTGTGTGTGTGCGAGAAAGAGAGAGATGAATGACCAATCTTAATATCATCATTGTAATCAAAATGGATTGATAAATTGAGGAAGAATGAATACATGTATATGAAGATATAAAAAAATTTGGATAATATATTTTTTCACCCAAACAAATTCATTTTGGAAGAAAATGAAAAACGAAGAGAGGAGAAAAAAGAAGGAACACAAAGGAAGAGAGGGGGGGATTAAAAAAAAAGATAAACTAACCATAGTCATATTGAATAACAAAATATCAATTAAATTATTCATATATAATTATCATTTAATTAATGTAAAATCGTTTGAATTATCTAATCGTGATGTTAATGTTAAAATAGAATGTTTAGCATTTTGTAAACCGGATTTTTCTATAGTTCTACCAATTAATGAACCCCAAATTAATGAGAATAATATAATACCAAGTAATATTTCAAATAAACATTTTATAATTGATGTAAATCTATCATTTGGATAAATAAATATTAATATAACTAATAAAAATGTAATCATTATTGCCCATGTTAAATGCAATAAACGACCATGTAAACATTGATTTAAACCACGAGTTAATTGTTGATCTATATCTAATAATAAATCACGTAATCGATTTAATTCACTTGTTGACATTGTTTCACCCTCTACAAGAAAAAAAAAGTAGATGAATTAGTTCTGTATTATACTTAAATAGATATTTAATTATAGGAGGGTTTTTGTGGAGATTTAGTATTTATCATTGTTGAAAGCGTGAGTCAATTGAAGCTAGACCACCATGGAAAACCTAGAAACACTGGGCGGCCGTTTCGTCCTATTATGGGACTCCTCAGCAGTGCGCATCCACGAACCTACTCGCGAGCGGGATTCGAACCCAGGACCTACCAGTCTCGTGGATCAGTTGAAGTTAGACATTAACACCGTTGGATGCCAGCTCAGTGGTCTATCGGTTAAGGGCTTCGGCTCCAGACTGGTAGGTCCTGGGTTCGAATCCCGCTCGCGAGTAGGTTCGTGGATGCGCACTGCTGAGGAGTCCCATAATAGGACGAAACGGCCGTCCAGTGTTTCCAGATATTTAATTATTATTAGTAGTATGAAATAGATTCATTTTCCCGTAAACAAAAACAACTACACAGTAATGTTGGATTATGGTTAGTAATTGAATTCACGATGTGTATTTCGCCCTCTTTTGGGACTTGTCAGCCAAGTTCACTACCTGTAACGACCCAGTGTTGATTCTTACATTGATATTCTAACTCAGTACTTTCCTCTTCAAACACTCGTGTGATTCATTGAGTTGTAGGGTTTTGTTCACAGTCCAGGATCCGAGTCCTGTGCACAGGATCGTAGATGCGCACTACTGAGAAGTCCTGTACTAGGAAGGAATGACCGTCCAATGCTTCCAGGTTTTTAATAGTCCGACTTAAATCAGCTGATAATTTCAATGAAGTCTAACAATCTCCACAACCCTATACTGAAAAATGCTTTAGTTGTGATGGATTTTGAATTAGAATATAGTGCATCAATGAGAATTGATTCATGAAATCTCCAAACGTCAGTGAAGTGACATATGCTCCATACATTCTTAAGAATCAGCAACTAACAAATTCACGGACTGTTGTTATTACCATACTAATCTACTCCACAACATACTTTAATTATCAATTAAATGAAAGTCTGCAGTTTTATCATATTATACATAACCTCGTTTATTTATATAGAAAATATTCGCCACAGATTGCTCTCAGCTAAGGTACATCTGAAAATCAAAAGGCAAAGGAGAGATGCTTTATCTTCGTAATGGACTTGCGGTGTTTAGTAATATATCAAGTTCATATGGGTTATTCTAGCTTCCGGATAGACCAGTTTATTCATTTTTCTTGAGTCAAATTTCGACCTTGTTAATTATTTATTTATTTTGACAGTTTTTATATGAGTGTATGTGTACGAATTGCTTACCATATACATCACATGTCTTCAGCTTACTTTTGTTTGGCTATAAATATTGAGTCACGCTTTACCAAAACCAGTTGGATTACTCGTCATTTCCCCTTCGCTTCTCTTTATTGCCTCTTATTATGAATTTCCGTCTGGATAAACAAGTGCCTGAAATAATTTCATTCAATGCAATCTGTATTTGGTTTCATGCGAACAGGATTAGACTGGGTAATATACGGCGTTAAATGGAAGATTTACGTTCGTAGCATATTCATACGTCTATCAACATTGGGATCAGATCAACGAGCTACAAAAGGTTCATTGTCAACGAGTAGCCTTGTCCCCAACAGGCATCAAACTCACAACCTTCAGATCTCGTAATGAACACTTAACCCCTAAAACTACTGGGTTGACGTCCATTGATGCACATTTCCACTTTACACAATTCGCAATTCAGTGCAACGATCATACATGGCATTGATATAGAATATTTTAATCTAGCCTTGTCTGAATTTCGATCGTCACGAGCAATAAGTCAAAAAGACAATTATGTCCACAAAGCTGAATGTAAATATTATGATGAAATAGAACAAAGAAACGTCGAGCACCAACAAATAAAAACATTGATTACTAAAATGTACAAGTGAATTGGTCAATAGTTTTCTTTCAGTTAGGGAAGTTCATCTAAAATTTACAGTGTATTGACAAACTACAGGGGACTCGCCATTATTCTCTGCTGCGAGTCATGTTTCAAGTCACTGAGCTTCAAAGTGTCTAAGGTACATGAAAGTAAGAAGCACAATAAAAAACGTTAGTCTATGTATACTTTTTACATGGGAAGATTCTAGAGTCTTCTCCAAGTATCGACTAGCGCTGATTGAATAAGAATTAGCCCATCAACGCAATCGTGCATGGAATATGCTTTGATCCAATCGATATCCCTCTATCACCTCTCCTTCGAGCAAATTTGTAGGATCGGGTATTAGGGGTCCAACTGCAACCAATTGTCTGGCCTGTGCTTTTGATTTGTCCATCGTCTAAGCAATAAAGAAAACTTGTATTAATCTTTGCTTGCACAGAAACTGTCTGTTCCAGGCGTTTTAATTTCAAAGGTGTCCAGCAGAACGTCAAGAGGTACTCAATCTCGAGTCTTGTTGCTGGCTAACGAAGTTGCTTTCAATTGGTTAGTATGACGTACCCACACTTCTGAGCCAACTGATACCTCATAAACCACATTCGCTTTCTTTCTCACGATCCGACCAGCTGTTCTTGTAGGATTTTTTCCACGATAGTTCATACCAAGTACCTTTTGACCCACTGTGAACAATCGTCTTTGTGCCCCATGATATCGATTGAACAGCTTCTCCATCGATACGTTTCATTGAGGCTTGATAGCTGGTGTAGGACGAGTGACATCGAAATATGCTAGTATTTTTCTGCTAAGTAAAGCTTCTGCTGGAGGGGTTCGATGTAGAGCGATAAATAGGCAGGAACCTCTCTAAGATCTCTTCAATGATCCTCTCCCCTTTCGATGTTTTCAGAGCATTTTTAAATGTACTGACAAAGCGTTCCACTTGACCATTGGATTGGCGATAGAGTGAAGGTGTTCGGATATGATTGATTCCATTCTGCCGACACAACTGTCAGAATATAGTGGGCATAAACTGTGTTCCATTGTTACTCACTATCGATTTTGGGGCTTCGAAACGACTGAGTAGCTAACGTAGTTTTCTGACTATGAAACTTGCAGCTGATTGTTTCACGAAAACAATTTCTGGCTTCTTGTTGTATGCATCAACTACCAAAAGGTAAGTTAGTCCATGAAGTGGGCCAGCAAAGTCCAAATGTATACGATTCCACGGTGGCTGTGGTATCTGCCATGATTGCAGTCTGCTTTTTGCAGTGCTTTCGTTGCTAATGCACATTTGGTACACGAACGGGACAGCTGCTCCACTTGAGTGTCTAAATGGGGCCAACATACATAATTTCATGCTAGCGCTTTCATGAGATTTATTCCAAGATGTCTTGTGTGCAACTGTTCAAGCACTGGTGGTTGCAGCTTTTTTGGGATTATGACATGTTCGGTAAACATCAGGTAGTCGTCGATAACTGAGAGTCTACGCTGGTAAAACTGTTGAAGCTCTGTGGAGCTGATATTAGAGTGCCACACTTCTAGGTGGGACTTTCTGTCTTCTTGTAGGACTGGATCTCGAAGAATTTCTCTGACTTCATCTGACAACACAGAAGTGTTCTTAATGGCATATGCTACTAAACTCCATATTTCTGGATCTACTGCTGTGGAGGTAATGATTATGATCTCTGGTTCAGGGTGTTGAACTCCAAATAATCGAAAGAGAGCGTCGGCTTGACCGATAGTATTTGTCGACTGATACTTTATATTGAAATCATAGCTCAGGAGCATTGTTGCCCAGTGTTGTAATGTATTAGCCGTAAAGATAGGTATTCCTTTCTAGACTGCTAGTAGGGAACATTCAACTAATCGCTAGCTCGGCGTTCAATGTCACAATACCAACTTCAATCACTTTGAGATAAAACGCAACAATCGTCTAAGGCCGTTGGTGACAACTGATTAACTTCCGAACTACAACAGTCACAACACACTAAAACGCCATGAACATCAGGAAGATCGTAGTGAGCTGAATATTATAGTTTATTTGATGGGATATTATGCAGATTGATTGAATTCACAAAAACGAATTTATGAATACAATCTACGGACAACCATGATGATTATAATTCTAACAACATAACTACATGATAAGAACAAACACAGATAATCAAGTAGAAACATGTACCTGGTTTGACGGGATTGCGTAATCTTGTAATAGTAAAGCTTGCGGCTACACCTTCGTGATCGGAATAATGTAAACCATGTGGGTCGTCAGGTACTTTACGCATATCTAACCAACACGAATCACAGACAAGTTTAGCATAGGCTATATAGTAAAACAGAAATTAAGTAGAATGAAAATTCATAAAATATTCTAGCTTTTTTATTAAGGATGATTAGGAAACGAAGTAAATATTTTATTACTGTGATATATAATTGTTCAAGCAATGTATAAACATATACAATACTATTTGTTCTAATATTGAACAATATTTGTATATACAATGAAAACACACTTTTATATTATGAAGTTATTAATATGATACAAAACAATTAAACATCAACCTTATTTCATATTATGGGATCAGAGATAGTTACGGTAAACTGTGAGCATGGATACTATGCTGGTTGAGACTCATCGGCAAGGTGTACCTGCAATCTTGAGGCAAATGATGCATTCTGTTGGGTTCAAATCAGTGTCACTCAGTCTCACGGTTGAAGACGTTATCACTGAGCTATTTGAACTGTGACTGATTTCGTAAAGTCGTAAGATAATTGTACTGATTGGTCCTTTGGTAATGAAAATGTCACATTTGTTGTCTTTAGGCGGTGATCGAACTATTCAGTTCGAACATCAGTATAAACACCAAATGATTACAAATAATGTACATAGTTTTTTCGGATCATATAGGATTATGTCACCTTCCTCCCTAAAATCTTAGATGAAGAAGTTTATCTCCAGGAGCATAATCTTTGATAAGATTAAAAAATGATGAAAGTGAGTATCTCTAACGAATATTATTCAGATGATAGTTTCTCTTGAGGTTTGACTCCGTCAAAAATATTCGATTAAACACAGTACGACAATATGTCTCTTGCTACAACTTACAACGATGAACACAGTTGAAAGTCTTATCAGGCTACGGAATATGGTTACAGACGAAAATCAACAAACATTTAAATGCTCCAAACACATGTCAAATAGTAATAATTCAATCATTACTATCTAACCCACTCATGTTCATATCTTGGTTTACGTTAGTAGCTTCTTTTTTTCCAGTAGTTCTTTTTAGAGATTGTTCAAGAATATTTTTTGCGTTTTTCCTTTGTACTATTTAAACTTGTAAAATTTTGATTTGGTATTTTATTCTCTGAAGAAGTGGTTCACACTAAGTTACGAAACATCGCAAAATCTAATTTTTCTATTAATTGGGGTATTACAAATATCTTATTTTATTTACAACAATCTACTTAACGTTCAATTTATTCGAAGTTGTCAAATCAAACCTTAGTAATGATACCTATAATATATCGATATTTTTTGTTGTACACATACAGAAAAAAATTTCAAAATGTATGTTTCCTTTTGTAACACTAATCGAATACATATTTTAAAGCATTACTATAATATAAGTTATCCAGAAGTTCATTGATATCAAATGAATGATAAAGGTGTCAAGAGTCTAGAATAGCATACAGACTAACATAACTTAATACTTTAAACTTTAAGTATCTCAGTAACCAAATACAAAATACAAATGAAAAATGTGTTATTTTTTTGTTTTATGATAAGTAAACTTTCAATTTGTCCCGTATTTGTTTGTTTGGTATTTTTGTTTCCATGCAATTATTTATTTCATAAGTTAAATCATTTAGAAAATGACATTCGTTTTTATCAAGGCATATTATTCAGACAGATTATATATATGTATAAATATATCACTAAGAAACATCGTAAAAAAGAACTCACATATATTGAATAATCAATCAGAAAATGAAGATTGAGTTTATCAGTGATGACTTAAAAATTTGCATAGTTTCAGTTTTACAATAATCCTCTATTCTGAACTTAAACACTCTGGATATTTTTTTATGCTTAATTGATTTTCAATCTCATAGTTACAGATAAAAATGTATTACATAGTTTTATTTTGTTTTAAACTGATTTATTTTTAGAGTATTAAGTATTTCTGAAAAGGATTAAACATATCTTATAATTCTCGCGCGCCCCCAAATGCCCTGGTACCGCCGAGAGTGGAGAGAGTCTGCTCTCTCTCTCGAAATACTATCACATGGCCAGCGTATATAGCCTCTGTCAGGGAAGTCCTACTCACTGAATTGTCACGGCGGGGGTGTGGTTTACGAAAGTGAGAGGACGAAAGAAGGATGTTCGGCGCTTTAACCAGGTTAGTGGACACGGCGAGTCCACCTAGGGGAGTTGGAAAATCACGATTACAAAACAATGATGTACATGGGCTCCAGTATCCTGAGGGAACAAATGGAGTATGAATCAATCGTTGGTCACCGGCTACCATGGGAGTGCATCTCCTCACGATGCTCCATTGCCTTGTGGATCAGACCTCTAGATCGAAGGCTCGGGGAGTGGCTCTCTAAGAAAACTACCTGCTTCAGTTTGGGCACCTGGGCAGTATCATAGCTCTCACTTAAATCAAATGAGATTTGTATGGTGCATATACATCTGGTGCTCCCTTGTATCAATATTTATGTGTTTAAATAAATAAATAATATAATAGTACAAGGAATAGTAGTGATATAAGCATTACTGAGTATTCTCTCAATTTTTTTTAAGAATGAATAATCTATCATCAAAATTAGTAATCCTCTAATGAAACTTAGAAACACTTAAGTAAAATATTTTTATATAGTTGAAATCATGAGTCAATTGAAGGTAGACCATCATGTAAAACCTGGAAGCACTGAACGGCGGTTTCGTCGTATTGTGGGACTCCTCAGCAGTGCGCATCCACGATCCCGCCACGCGAGATTCGAATCCATGACCTGTCAGTGCTGAGGAGTCCCACAATGGAACGAAATGGCCGTCCAGTGCTTACAGGTTTTTCATGGTAGTCTAGCTTCAATTGATTCATGATTTGAACTATATAAAAATCTCCACTAAACCCTTTTCGGATAAAATATTTTTGTTTAGAAAGCAAAAAAAATAACCTTAAAATGTACAGTTCACAAAAAGATAATTGAAAATTGTCTATTATACATCGATTGTTTTTACAACTTAAATATTAACAGAAATGATTAATTATGTAGCAATCTTTTCATTTGCATGTTAACATCAACTGGAGAAGTGTTGGAAAATTTAAGGGAGGTGAGTTGTAAGTGTGAACTGATGAGGAGTTTCAGATGATAAATGAAACAGTTTACACTACTTTATTTTAAAAATCATCATGTTGGACTAATTAACTTCACTTGATTTGATACTAGTGACAACGATAATAATGAACTGGAAACCAACTATATTTTAAGAGAAACCAGTGTAAAATGGTACAAAAGTAAGCATATAAACGTTTATTGTAAAACGAATGACTGAAGAAACCTCCAAAATGTTGTAGATTTATTCAGTAGCATCGACTGTTCAATTACTAACCAATCAGTATATTCGGAATCGGAAAACAATAAGCATTCGATTGTTAGAAAAATATTATCCTAACATCAATGATTCAGTCTAAACAAAATCAGTGTATGATGAAACATTATACTTACTTTATACACTTAACTCAATCGGTTATAATCAACATTGGGCTTGACACAAATGTACATTAACACAAGTTCTAATACGAAATTAGTACAGTGAAATAAAATTAACAAAATGAATAGAAAAGCAGTTCGAATAATAGTAATATTAATGACTCAACTTTGATAATATACTTCGAAAAAAATAAGTGAGAAGATATGCATAACGCAATATTGAAACTCAAGATCTAAAACACGATTAAGAGTGTCACTGTAACTGATTCTAGGTCACATTTAATTAGTGACTGTAGTCATTTTCTTGAACATTAAGTCAGGTAGTTCGCAGCTACCAACATGGATAAGTCCAATAGTCAATAACTTCTTACACTGATATTATAACGGTAATTACATTTATTGTTAAGTCTAACAAACTGAAATTCTCAGTATAGGATTGTAGGGATGGTTGAGTTTTTAATTGAGATTATGAACTGATCAATGTTAGACCAGCATGTCTGTTGTGAGGCAGTTACTCACTGAAAACAATGGATGACGGTCGTACAATGTCGTGGGTTAGTTGAAGTTAGTCATTAATACAATTGGATGTCGGCTCAGTAGTTTAGAAGTTAAGCGTTAGCACGCGAAACCGAAGAGCCCGATTTTGACTCCCGCGCGCTGGATCGTAGATGAACACTACTGAGGTGTCCCATATTAGGATGAAACAACCATCCAGTGCTTCCAGGTTTTCAATGGTGGTCTAACATTGATCAGTTCATGATCTAAATTAAAAACTGAAATGCATAGTATTTACATTACTATTTCTTTTTGTTGAAATACATACCTAAAAGCTACTTACATAGATAGCGTCTAAATCAGATTTATAAAATGCATTCATACTCATGAATACATATGTATAGTGTTATATTCTGTGGAGATTTATGAATGGTAACTTTGAGAACTATTTATGGACCAATATGATATGTATATTTCCTATTGAATAATTTTTTAAGTAAATAAACTTTTCATATTCGTGTTTCGATTATTATGAACTTTATTTTGACCTATGAACTATTATCATACGATTCACCATTCTTGAGTTATCCTCAGTCTATTAATTACTGTTCCCCCTATTCACAGCCACATTTGGCCAAATCTTGTACAAATGTTATTTTCTATTTTATGGTACGATGTGGTCAGTTTGTTTGGTATATAAACTCAGTATGTTTGAGAATAATGATTCATATTTTCAGAGGCTGGTATTGGTGTTCTGGACTTAACTGTCTGGGCTAGGTAGAAAGCAGTACTGATTAGTACTCAACACTGCTCATACGGTTTTTGGTGTATCATTGCTTTGATCAATACATTCACTCCTCTCACATTGGCGGGGATCATCACGTCATATAGTAAACAGGGCACCTACGCATTCACTCAATATAACATATGAGCATAGAGTAACATATTTTTCTTTCAAGAAAGAATTCACAATAATAATTTTTTTAATATGAATAAAAATAGTGTTCTATTTGATTTTGGTTATATTATGCCATATGTAAAATGATATTATAAATATATAACATTTTTTCCTACGCAAATACTTTTTAATAATATCCGAAAATAGTAATAACGCATGTATTAGGTTAATTTGTAATTTCTTCTTGATTGGTTGTTTGTTTTTTGCCTACTTATTCTATTTAAATGTACCCTTCAACATTAGTAACAAGTAAGCATATACATACATAAATACTCATAGCTCTGATGAATCATACATGTATGGTAATAATGATGAGAGAAATGTTTTTTTTAAAACTCATCGTTTGCAAATATTTATTAGCAGATATATATATATATATATATATATATATATATATATATATACGATTGTACAGCTTGTTTTGTTAAATTACTAATTCCGTGAGGAAATGTGAACACTAATAACCAAGATTATAATACTAGATTACGTAATACGAATAATAACAATAGATTTAGTGAATAGAATAAGATGATTAAAATGTTTTAGTTATAATAAATAAAGGTCATAGAGGTGTAAAATAAATAAAATGATATGATGAGTATTCATGAGTAAAATAATGCGAATATAAAAGTAAATAAAAGTAAAGGGGGAATGGAGTAATAATAATAATAATAAGAGAATGATACTAATAATAATATTAAGGCCATGGTAACGATAATGATAAAACGTACTTCTTTTGTACGCATAGTTCTGGTTTGAGCTCATGGATGGTAAGAGCTTCGGCCATTTTTGGGAGTTTGATACGAAGAAATCCTGGTAGATTTGAACGATTCATATAAACAACTTTAAAATCAGACTGTGGATTCGTTGAATGATTACAGTCGATTAAGTGTTCAAGTATAGAACTTCTAACTGCTTTCTTTCCACCATTGTAGAACCAAACTGGTATATGTTCTCGTATCCGAATTGAAAGCGAGCGCTGGCTACGGCCGATGTACCTTGCTCCACAAGAGCAGGTGAACTGTTAGATGCACATAGAGGCGACCAAACGCGGAAGCTTATCTTTTATGGATACAGAAAATAAGTTCTTACTAGTGAAGGTCATTCGTAGTTTAGCAGCGTTAAATGTCCTTTTAATTGTTGTTGTTAAACGATTTTTAATTATGTCTGATGTTCGATCACCTTTAAATTCCAGACTTATATAAAGGCTTTTCTTTGGGACTGAATAACCAGGATTCCTATCAACGCTACTTCTATTCATATTCTTCTCTATGAATCGGTCTGGGTAGCCATTTTTCATCAAAGTTTTCTTGAGGAACTCGAGTTCTTCGTTAATGCATTCCGTACTACATATCCGATGTATACGATAGCATAAAGAATGAATCAAATTTCTCTTTCTATTTAACGGAACCCAGCTATAGAAGTTGGTTGGTTGGCCGTTCCATGTTTGCTTTCTAAAGATAGATCTTTTCAAAGAACCATTACTTCTTCTCAATAGATGTACATCAAGAAAAGGGATTGATTGGTCTTTCTCTCTTTCTAATGTGAAGTCTATGGAAGTGTGGCATGAGTTAAAGGAGTGTAAGATATCGTCTAAATCAATATTATCGTCACAAACGACAAATGTGTCGTCTATGTATCTTACGTATAGTTGGAATCAATTTATCATTGAACTGAGTTGATCGTTTTCTAGTTTTGCCATGAAGCAGTCTGCTAGAATCAGACCTAATGAAGATCCCATTGCAATCCCATCTCTTTGTCTATATATTTCATTTTTGAAACTAAACTGGACATTAAAGGTACAACGTAACAATAATTCTTTTAAGTATTCAGTTGGAATACCTAGATCTATGTTGTTAGAGTCAAAATACTCACAAATATAACATATCGTTTCCGTTAACGGTACACTAGTGAATAAAGAATTAACGTCAGCGAGAACATGTGTTTTCCGGAAGTATTAACATCCTTAATACGATCAATAAATTGAAAAGTATCATGAATAGAATATTTAGATACTTGCCTTCTAACTGGTTCCAATTTTTCAGCTAACCATTGGGCTATTCGAAGAAGTACGTTTTATCATTATCGTTACCATGGCCTTAATATTATTATTAGTATCATTCTCTTATTATTATTATTATTACTCCATTCCCCCTTTACTTTTATTTACTTTCATATTCGCATTATTTTACTCATGAATACTCATCATATCATTTTATTTATTTTACACCTCTATGACCTTTATTTATTATAACTAAAACATTTTAATCATCTTATTCTATTCACTAAATCTATTGTTATTATTCGTATTACGTAATCTAGTATTATAATCTTGGTTATTAGTGTTCACATTTCCTCACGGAATTAGTAATTTAACAAAACAAGCTGTACAATCGTATATATATATAGTAACGATTGTACAGCTTGATAATAATAATAATATTAATGAATATTTTAATTATGGTGCATAATATTGCTGTCATTACTATTATTCATTGAATTAATTTAATTCTTTTAATTTATGAATGACAATTTTATTTTATTGATTTGTTTATTTGAACACATAAATATTGGTACAAGGAAGCACCACATAAAAAAATTGTCATTTCATTTAATTCTTGGAAGGCTATAATACTGCCCAGGTGCTAAGACTGAAGCAGGTGGTTTTCGTAGAGGGCCACACCCTGAGCGTTGACCCAAAGGTCTGATCCACAAAGCAGTAGAGCATCGTGAGGAGGTGCAGTCCCCGAGCTGTAAATGAATAGCATGTAGATTTCCTGCTAGTTGATCCTTCCATTTTTATGTTTACTACATTGTCTTCTTATTTACAAACTAAGTAATTTCAAGTCAAATTTTAGGAAAAGAAACATCATACAACTAGATCTCCCGAAAAATATTGATTTATTATAGCAAAAATGACATACTGAACTCTGAAGTTATTGTGCAATCATGAGTGTTCTTACACAATGACAATTTTGTTATGAATGCTGTCGATCAAGTTACAATGTGGGTACTAGTATGAGTTGCTCGACATCGCACGCATTATGATGAGCTTCAAGATCATAGGCACGCCTTCCTGACACATGCCAAATAACACGAAGCTTTCTTCCAGGGTTTCAACTTCCACCTTACATTTAAGATAGACTTTTCTCAATTAAGAAGGTTCATCCTATTTTTATGAAGAATGTAGTGTAAAACAAAACTGACATTATTTTTCTTACTTATATACTAGTGAACGATATAATCTCTAGGACATCAACTAAGGTGATTCTTAAGGACCAATTTAATAATGACCGCACAAAACTGTTTTGTTTCATACAGTGAACAATTACCTACTTTTTCTACCTATTCTTAGTATTAGCGAATAAGGCACAGTGAAGAGGCTGATAAAACGGTGTGTTCGTAAGTCAGTTTCATCCGAAAAAACGATAACGATGGAACCAAGTGACTAATTAATAAACATAATTTAACGAGATATAAAACTAAAATAAAAGAGATAAATTAATCCAATAACAACAATATCATCACCATCATTATCTTACATGGTATATAAAATGAATATATTATTGATGGACCAGAACGATAAAATATGTAATCTAATCTTTCACCATTTCCATAAGTATTTGTCCACAGTTGATTACGATAAGGATTATCAGCTCGATCACACGTACATCCTTCTGACTCTAAATCTGTAATATTTGTATTCTTCAAAGCAACAGTCTACATATATGCACATATTTTTTATGTTATGGAGGAAGAAGAATGAAAAACATACGAAAAATCAGTAATTTTAATTTTTTTGATAAAAACATTGTCACTATTAATTTTTTAAATGATACATTAATCAAACCGACTCATCTGTGATTATTGCATGAGGATTTCAGTCCTTCGTTATAAACTCAGATGGAAAGCGATAGAAATCGGTCAGATAGAATTACTTTGAATCTCAAAACCCTAGCTAGTGTCGCATTCAATCTAACATTTGAAACCCGAATACTATACTTAAAGATCTCTGAAGTTAATCTAGCTGGTCTAAACCCATTTCCTCGCTTCAGACTAGCTATGGTCTTTCCGAATTCATCAAGTCGACAGGCTTACCTCAATCTTTCATTCAGAATGTTTGGAAATAGTGTTTAACGACATAGTAGCTAAAGTTCAACTAAGCTGTTTTTGGAGAGTTCCATCCATCATCCCAATCGTTAAGCCTGACAGTAGACCAAAGTTTATGCTTTTACTGAGATCATTGCACTAACAGCTGACTTTGTAATACCTGTGTCCCTGATAAATCTGAACAGTTACCTATTTATTATCGATGCACTCAGTCTGTCCCATTTCTTTTATTTTTGTCATCAAACACTGCTCAAAATCATATTACTTCTGTTTTCATAGCCGTTTCGATATTTTACCAAGCTTAACATTATTCTCATGACAGACCAAAAGTCTCTTGATTTGTTTTAGAAATACAACCTTGATCATTCGATAATCAAGCTGAACGCTAAAGGGTATTTCGGTTAGACACATACACACACCACAACACAATCAGAGTTTAAATATGGACTCCAGAACGAAATAGGTTCTCTTATTGAGCCGCCCTAACTATAGTTGATGTAAATATGGTTTATTCATGTCGATTTTATGGATAATCACGTCAAATGTCTCCCTTTATTCTTGTCAATGATTTTGTTAGAAACAAACTGTTACCTGAGAATAGTTTCAGCATGCCCTTCTTTTTATCTGTTCGGTGATCTGGGACGCTGAAAGGCATATCTAATTATTTTTTAGCTTGATTTACCCTAACCAATTGACCATTAAAATAATCTCCTACGATTACTGTTTGAGGATTTATTTTTTTTAATATGGTTATAAAGCATCATGTAAACTTCATTTTTTACTTCTGTCAAGGTGGAATGTGTTATATACTAGAAAAGAAGTAAGTACGGATAACTTACGGGACCTTTTATTGGAATATTATTCTATGTATATTCCTATTGTATAACTATTCAGTAACTAGAATGTCTATATCTATATTTATCTTATTACAAGCTTCATTTTGACCTATTGATTATTAATATATGATTTACTGTTCCTAAATTATACTCGGTTTATTGAATACTGTCCCCCACGCTTGCAGCCACATTTGGCTTGATTTTGTACAAATATTATTTGCTATTTTAAGGTGTGATGTGGTCTGCCTGTCTGGTATATAAACAAAGTATGCTTGAAATAAACGATTCGCATAAGAGCAGCTACTATTGGTGTTCTGGACTCAAGTGAAAGGGCTAGGCGGATTAAGGATCAATAAGGACGCGAGATTACTCATACTGATTGGACGTCCTTGATTGTCACAGTGTTAAGGTCGGAGAAGTCGTATTTCTATTTGTTAGATCGGCATACAATAAACTCTATCAGAGCCTCCAGAGAGGCTCATAAAGAGACCAACCAATCAGCGATCAGTTAGAAGCTATGCTACTAAAATGCTACTAAAATAACAAGGTCCTGATTGGCTGTTAACATATTGCTACTATGGAATCTCAAGGTCTTTCTAATTACTATAAAACCCCTGTTTTTTCTGTACATAATCGAACCTTGTAGTAAAGTGATTTCTCTGTTACTCGTGTCTTCTTACTGGTCTTTCAAGTCGCTGAGTAGTGCTAGCCTGGGGTTATCCGAATAGCTAGGATCCGAATAAAGCGTTCAACCCACAAGACATAACAAATTGGCGACGGGGATTTCGGCACAAAAAAAACAATTGTTGTCGGGGTTTTTGGTGCACAAAAAAATACAACAATTGTCGTCGAGGATTCTGGCAAAAAGAAATACAGCAACCGAGACGTGATTTGGGAATCAAACAAGCTGTAATAATTGCCGGTGAATTTTCGGAGTTATTATTATTATCAGCAGAAAAAAAATGACGATTTCTTTAGAACAGGCGCTGGTAATCTTAGAGCACCGGCAACAACAGATGCTAGCCTTCCAGCAGCAACTATTTGAAACAGTCTTGGACAAGTTTTTCAATAATGGTGCTAAAATGGCCGTCCCAGAAGAACGCTCGGTTGAGGGTTCATTTCCCTTCACATCTGATGGAAAAGGCAAAATGGGTAAGTTGGCCGGTTCAGAACAAGACAATATCTTGCTAAATGCACATGAAACTGCGACAGTATCAGATGTCAAAGAAAAACAAGGTTCCGTAGACAAAGCCCTGAGCCCAGAGTCTAATGAAGCACCACTCAATCCGCCGATTTCTGAAGACAAACTTCAGTCAGAATTAAACTACGGGTTACATGATATCGGCCAAGAAAGCTGGAATGGTGCACATAACTTTGATGAAAATTCTTATGAAGATGAGGAAAATAAGTCGGTTGAATCAAATGCTGATCAAAAACCCAAGGCAATTTCATTAGATGATGATTCCCCTAGCTATCAAATATCCTCCAGTGAAAATCTTAATGAATTTGATGGAGATGTTTCAGAAAAGCCAAATTCCGATGACCTAAAATCAAATATCGTTCATCATCATCTATTCATTTCTAATGGATTCTGCATTCAATACGAGAAATGTGTTCTAAATAAAGTCATATTAATTGTAAATTGGAGATATGAAGATCCAACATTATTTCGTGGGGGAGGAAATATTGGAGAATTTCAACTTACAGATAATTTTAAAAAAAAATCAAAATCTAATCTTCGAATCTTCAAAAAAGGGGAGGTGTTAGATCGGCATACAATAAACTCTATCAGAGCCTCCAGAGAGGCTCATAAAGAGACCAACCAATCAGCGATCAGTTAGAAGCTATGCTACTAAAATGCTACTAAAATAACAAGGTCCTGATTGGCTGTTAACATATTGCTACTATGGAATCTCAAGGTCTTTCTAATTACTATAAAACCCCTGTTTTTTCTGTACATAATCGAACCTTGTAGTAAAGTGATTTCTCTGTTACTCGTGTCTTCTTACTGGTCTTTCAAGTCGCTGAGTAGTGCTAGCCTGGGGTTATCCGAATAGCTAGGATCCGAATAAAGCGTTCAACCTACGAGACGTAACACTATTAATGGATAATTCACGCGAGTTACGTCCTTGTTTAATTTGTAAGGTCATAACAAACTAGCGACGACCTTGAACAAATCATAACAGAATGAGTGAGAGGGTATACGGCGACGAGGGTTAACGGTATTTATCTTACTCCGTTCAAGTAATTAACTGTTCTGTTTATCTGGGGAGCACACAAGCGACTGTTTATTGAAGTATATCCCAGAAGAGCCTATTGTACTATAGAGCTTAATACAGCTTTTATGTTAACCAGGGCACGAAAAGTAGGGATGAAGTCTCCAGATATACGAAGAGTAAGTGGTTTTCATCCACAACTGATTGAACGAGGTCATGTGGATGTTTCGGAGAGCAATATATATATATATGTCATAATATTCTAGAGTCCTAACTAGTCAATTACTAAGCTGTAACACTCAGTAATACATATAATGACATATACATTTGACAAATAATCAACAGTGAATAATGTAGCTAATTTGCCAAGTAAGTGTTTCTTTCTCATCAGTTCATTTGTCGAAACTAGTTATGGCACTTATTTATTTATTATTTATTTAAACACATATATATTGGTACAAAAGGGCACCAGATACATATGCGCTACACAAAATAATGAAAGTAGGAAGAGAAGGGATGAAAAGATAGGGCGGACTGAAATGTACAACCAGAAGACTCTTTCAGTTAAGAAAGTTAGAACCACTCTTTATGTAGAAAGTAAAAGAAGGTTGCAGCAGGATCGCCACTGGCTTCTATTCTGAGCCATATCTGATAACGTCTCTAGCCACTGTGTTGCACCATCTCTCGGACCCCAGCCAGGCAGTCGTGAAGGACCGACAGAAGCTAGCCCTTTGCAGCTTTCTTTCATGCCACGACACCATGTCATACACTGACCTCCTCTCCGCTTTTTCCAACCAGTCCCAGGGTCGGCAAATAATGCACGACGTGGAAGTCTCTGGGACGACATTCGTAAAACATGTCCAAGCCACCGAAGTCGGTGTTTCAAGATGGTGACACCAATTGAATTATCGTCTCTGCGCCCGAACACACGATGCCGAACCTCTGCATTACTAACATGGTGTTGCCACTGGATGTCAGCAATCCTTCGGAGACAACGATGATCGAACACAGAGAGACGTCTAACATCCTCAACTCGGAGAGGCCACGTTTCACAAGCACAGAGCAAAACTGCTCTCACCGACGCGTTGTAGATCCGACCTTTTACAGCCAGACTAACATCACGAAGGCACCAAAGATGGCCCAGATTGGCATAAGCCGCTCTGACTTTCATTATACGTGCATCAACCTCATCACTCACGCCACCACCAGCACTTATGTAGCTACCTAGATACACGAACTTCTCAACTACTTCAATCTGCTCACCATCCAGGGTGAGTACAGGATTAGAATCCTGCCAGTCTTGTAGGAGTACTTTGCACTTCGAAGGTGCAAAGCACATACCGTACCTGCGGACACTGATTGCCAACTGATTAAGTGCTGATTGCATGCCTTGGGCATTATCGCACAGTAAGACAATATCATCCGCATACTCGAGGTCGAGAAGTCGTTCTCCAGGCAACATATCCACACCGCCATTACTTACATCCATCAGAGCTGTTTCCAAGATGTCGTCGATGACAAAGTTGAAGAGGAATGGTGAGATCGGGCAACCCTGCCTAACCCCACTGCTCGAATGGAACAAGGGAGAAAGGTGGTTGTATGCCCTCACTCTGCCTGAGGTGTTCGTGTACAGGGCCTTTAAGATGTTAATGAACTTCTCAGGCACACCCTTCTTCAATAGACAATTCCAAAGAACAGTCCTGTCCAACGAATCGAAGGCAGCCCTGATATCAAGAAACACTACAATTGTTGGCCTGCGATAAGTATGACGGTGTTCTAACATTTGGCGGAGGGTGAAGATGTGTTCAATGCGTCCTCGACCAGAACGAAAACCAGTCTGCTCCTCGCGAGTCAATCGTTCTCGGGTTTTAAACAACCTACGAAGAATGACAGAAGCCAATAGTTTGGACGCAATCGGAAGTAGACTTATCTCCCGATAGTTGTTGCAGGAACAATGTGAACCCTTTTTGAAGATAGGGACGACTATCGACTCATTCCATGATGTTGGAACACTTTCTTGCTCCCAAACCTTTGTAAATAACACCGTCAGTTTCTTAGCCAGAAAGTCGCCACCATCTTTAGAAAGAGCCGGAGGTAAGTCATCTGGGCCGGTAATTTGTAGCGCTTCAAGAGTTGGAGTTCTTAGTGGCATAAATTTCAGTTATGCCACTAAGCTGCTTAAAATGAAATATAGCAAGATTTGGTACTATCGATTAAAAACCAATAATTTTAACCTCCATAACTACTGCCTCTTTAAAAAATTATCAAGAATATGCATAAAAAGAAAATTCTCCACACATTAAAAACTGTCATTATTAGCATATGATAGTATATAATAATATACGGATCATAATAAATAGCAAATTATCATATTACTTCTAATAGATATTTTATTCAATCTAATATAAAATCAGCTGATGATAGATCAATAATAATTCTGTTTTACAAATATTATATTTATCACACAAGTTAACCACATGAATATTCTGATAATGATGATGATGATATCTTGTTCACCTTATTTTTTTATGAAGTAAAATTACATAAGATTATATAGAAACATGAAAATTTGTACATTTAATTGTAAATTTTACTTAGAACAACACATGTAAGCGAACAATTGTTTTCAATTAAATCGTCATCAGGCTTTACTCTGATATATACATGAATATTTATACGAAAATGTTAGACCAGTCATGGCTATTTGAGTTAATAATCACATTGAAATAGAATACATAACCGAGCATAATAATTAATTTTTTTTTTACTTAGTTGGAAAGATTTTCATCAACTATGATGTTTCTTTCATAAATCCTGTAGGAAGGCTATTTTCCATACATGTATCCTTATAATATATACAGATATGTATATATTTAATATTCTGGATGAAAATGTAGGCCCCGTTTATTTTCCAACAATTTAAGATGTGGTTGATTAGGAAATATTTTGCATTACAAATGAATATCATTTGTAAAAGACTAACGATAATCAAAAGACTACATAATTGGACTCATTTTAAACAAATTTTTTCTCTTTTCTCATGCGTAAGTTCTAGATATAAATTATCAACTAGTGAAAAAAATAGTTGATAGATCAGCGATGAGTCTTCGTAGATAACAGACTTGAGGATAGTATCTACATTGATAATCTGAAATTGAGTTAAGCTCAAAATGCTACTTTTACCATCGGCTACGTCATAAAGTTACTATTATATGTATGGTCACATGTTAAATGATCCAGACAGAACCAAAACTTCGTATTGGTGAAGGGTTTTAACCCTGATTACAATACTGAAAATTCACCGGTTGATTTTAACCGATAAAGAAAACAAATTTAAAGCACTTCCTTTACATCGAAACATAACCATAGAGTACTGGATAGCTGTTTGGTGCTAGAATGAAACTCCTCAGAAGTGAGCATCAATGACCCCAACACAGATAGAACGAGGGTCCTTCCATTCTTCTAGAGAACGTACAATGGACTATATTCAGAGTAGCAATTATTAGGTAATTAAGACAGTTGAATTTCGAATGGGTTACTGGTTCGAACCCTGCTAAACTTATACCAGTCCAGACATCCAAGTAGTACCACTAGTTCTCAAATAAAAATATATAGCCCAATATAATGGCTTAATACACGAAACTGCAATCGAATACCAAGTTGGGGAAAAATCATAGTAAGTACTTAATAACTAGTGTAATGAGAAGGCACTTAATACCAGAGTGGCAGACAGCCGCAGAATATATTATGACAATATAGCGTTCTGAGTTGTCACTTTTACTAAACAATACGAAAAGACGAAGAAGTGCAAAACCGAAAATAAACATGGAACAAATCAGTAACAGAGTAACAAAATAGTCAAGAATCAATTATTCTAGTCAGGCTAAATTAGATGGGGCGCGTTAGAATTCATGACTTACAACTTGAAAGCTAATTATCTTAACTAATAATCCATTGCTGAATAGTGAATGAATCTAAATCATAATGGTTAGTTCGTAAACTATATCATGTAGTGTTTTTCGTCGCGCTATGTTGATTATAATCAGACAGCTCACAATTTTCGAAAATACACATGCCTTAGAAAATTTAATAAATATCTTTCGTCTTAAAATTTTGATGATACGTTAGGGGAAATAACTGGATTCGCAAAACATTCTGACAATAAAAAATAATTTAACAATGTATAGCATATCGAAACATAACTCAATTTACTTCCATATTAAGCAGATATTTTGCTAACTGTTAATTGATTATTTTCATTATTACAATAATAAATGGTTGAAGTTAGACATTAACACCGTTGGATGCCGGCTCAGTGGTCAAGAGGTTAAGTGTTCGCGTACGAGACCAAAGGTCCTTGGTTCGAATCACATGTGCGATATCATGGACGTGCACTTTTGAGGAGTCCCAAACTAGCACGAAACGGCCATGCAGTGCTTCTAGGTTTTCAATGCTGGTCTAACATTGATCAATTCATGATCACAATTAGAAAAATTCAACAATCTCTACAACTCCATACTGATAATATAAATGTACTTTACTACCTATACATACTGTTCTCAATACTAACATATCAACAATAATATAAAACAGATAAAAATACTAAAAACTGGATGTATCTATGACGTCATTTTATGTATCTCAACTATTAGTTTACGGTAAACTTACTACGAAAATGCATGTGTTAGAAAAAAAGATTGAATAACAGTAACTTTATAAACATTAAAAAAGATAATATTTAATAAATCTAATATAAATGTTAATTGATTTGATTACATTTTCAAGTTATATTTATACTTTAATTAATTTAATGGATAATTATAAGCTAACAGTAGTTCGAAAACCATTAAAAACTAAAAGATACCTGGATATCTATTTCGTTCAACTTTTAGAACTTTTTAGTAATACCCATTTAAGAATTTATAATCTTAGTTAGAGAGTAAACACAATAATTTGAAATCACTTAATCGAAATGAAATGATCTATTTTTCAATTTCAATTGACTCGTCATACAGATTGGTAAACAAGAAATTCCATCAGTAAATGGCTTACTCATAAGTTAGTTAGCACTACGAACCGTGATATTCAACTGATAGTTTAAAAAATTTATCTTATAGTTAATTGCTATTGAGAACAATGACTTAGAGATTTTCATATATATCAAGTAAGGATACATGTAAAAACATTGTTCCTACTGAGTTTTGAAGTAAAAAGACAGCATATATATTTCTGACTTACATTATTAAGCCATGCATCAGATAATTTTAATGAAGTACTAAATAATTCAATAGCTGAAGTATTCGATTCCAAATTGAAATCTCCAGTAATTATAATTGCATCAGAACCAGTGGATGTCATGCGAACAAATTCCATTACTTCAACTAATTGAGATATTCGATGTCCATTATATTTATCCAACATACGATCTAATTCATAACGAGCAATTAACTTGAATGTAAAAAGAAATAATAACATTTCGAAAAAAATAAATTGAGCAACTGAATATAAGTATGTATATGTATACAACAAAGTCGAAATTATCATGGAATTATTGATGAATTAATTTGGAAGAAAATAGGATATGAATTAAAAGGCTTGAATACAAATTCTAAAAAAACACTATAACTGACCATATTATCCTATTTACAAATTCATTAGTTCAAATAATTACCATTATTGACTATTATACATGACTTAACAATTTCGATAGGACGAAGATATGGAGATTTCGAGTCAGATACTTGCGACAAACTATTCAAATAAAAGAATTGTAGGAGCTAATAGTATGTCAAGCCCATATAGGTTATTCCAACCTCTGAACAAATCAATCTATTCATTCTTCTCAAGCCACATTTTACCCTGTCACTTATTCACTTGTTAATCTGGACCATTTTCTAATGATCGTATGTGTGCTAATTACTGACCTTATTCACCACATATCATCTGTAACTTATTTTTGGTATGACTATAAATATCGGTTCATGGATGGCCAAATGGAGTTGGCTCACTAACGTTCTCTGACGCGTGTCGTTTCGCTTAGCTTTATGATCAACGATTGTACGAAATATAGGTATTCAAAAATCCATTCTCGTATTTGACTTATTAAATTTCATTATTCACTAACGTGAACTAAGTAAATGATCATATACGAAGATGGACGACATGGATATTTCGATGACAAGCAGCAGATGATCTACCTGGAGTCAGATCTCAGCCCACTAAAGAACTAATCAATACATCTCAATCTCCATTTTTGTTTAAATTAAAACCTGAAATAAGTAGGAAAGCATATGTTCATGAAACTATCGTAAGAACTTGTATCGTTTAAAAGAAGAATATGATTTAGTCGAATGTACTGAATATTATGAAACACTATATAAATGTAAATCAGTTCAATTTGTTGATAGAAAAAAAAGAAAGACAATATTTAAACTTGCAAAACTAAGAAAGTAATAAATTTTGAAATAAAAGTAGATTTAATAACAGAAGGGTTTTTGTGGATATTATTCAACATATGCTCACTAGTGACTAGTTTCAAGAGGTATTTCCTGGAGTTCTAGTGAGAAGTAATGACTAGTAGGGTTCTGCAAGGTCTGTTGTGAGATAGTAACTCATTGAAGACATTGGTGGATGTGTCGCTCAATTTCGTGGATTGCTTGAAGTTAGACATTAACACCGCTGGATGCCGGCTCAGTGGTTCTAGAGTTTAAGCGCTCGCGCGTGAGACTGATAGGTCCTGGATTCGAATCTCGCGAGGCGGGATCGTGGATGAGCACTGCTGAGGAGTCCCATAATAGGACGGAACGGCCTTCCAGTGCTTTTAGGTTTTCCATGGTGATCTAGCTTCAATTGACTCATGATCTCAACTATTGAAATTAAAAATAGATTTGTCATTATTATTATTATTTATTTATTTAAACACATATATATTGGTACAAAAGGGCACCAGGTACATATGCGCCACACAAAATAATGAAAGTAGGAAGAGAAGGGATGAAAAGATAAGGCGGACTAAAATGTACAACCAGAAGACTCTTTCAGTTAAGGAAGTTATAACCACTCTTTATGAAGAAACTAAAAGAAGGTTGCAGCAGGATCGCCACTGGCTTCTATTCTGAGCCATATCTGATAACGTCTCTAGCCACTGTGTTGCAACATCTCTCGGACCCCAACCAAGGAGTCGTGAAGGACCAACAGAAGCTAGCCCTTTACAGCTCTCTTTCATGCCACGACACCATGTCATACACTGACCTCCTCTCCGCTTTTTCCAACCAGTCCCAGGGTCGGCAAATAATGCACGACGTGGAAGTCTCTGGGACGACATTCGTAAAACATGTCCAAGCCACCGAAGTCGGTGTTTCAAGATGGTGACACCAATTGAATTATCGTCTCTGCGCCCGAACACACGATGCCGAACCTCTGCATTACTAACATGGTGTTGCCACTGGATGTCAGCAATCCTTCGGAGACAACGATGATCGAACACAGAGAGACGTCTAACATCCTCAACTCGGAGAGGCCAGGTTTCACAAGCATAGAGCAAAACTGCTCTCACCGACGCGTTGTAGATCCGACCTTTTACAGCCAGACTAACATCACGAAGGCGCCAAAGATGGCCCAGATTGGCATAAGCCGATCTGGCTTTCATTATACGTGCATCAACCTCATCACTCACGCCACCACCAGCACTTATATAGCTACCTAGATACACGAACTTCTCAACTACTTCGATCTGCTCACCATCCAGGGTGAGTACAGGATTAGAATCCTGCCAGTCTTGTAGAAGTACTTTGCAATTGGAGGGTGCAAAGCACATGCCGTACCTGCGGACACTGATTGCCAACTGATTAAGTGCTGATTGCATGCCTTGGGCATTATCGCACAGTAAGACAATATCATCCGCATACTCGAGGTCGAGAAGTCGTTCTCCAGGCAACATATCCACACCGCCATTACTTACATCCATCAGAGCTGTTTCCAAGATGTCGTCGATGACAAAGTTGAAGAGGAATGGTGAGATCGGGCAACCCTGCCTAACCCCACTGCTCGAATGGAACAAGGGAGAAAGGTGGTTGTATGCCCTCACTCTGCCTGAGGTGTTCGTGTACAGGGCCTTTAAGATGTTAATGAACTTCTCAGGCACACCCTTCTTCAATAGACAATCCCAGAGAACAGTCCTGTCCAACGAATCGAAGGCAGCCCTGATATCAAGAAACACTACAATTGTTGGCCTGCGATAAGTATGACGGTGTTCTAACATTTGGCGGAGGGTGAAGATGTGTTCAATGCATCCTCGACCAGAACGAAAACCAACCTGCTCCTCGCGAGTCAATCGTTCTCGGGTTTTAAACAACCTACGAAGAATGATAGAAGCCAATAGTTTGGACGCAATCGGAAGTAGACTTATCCCCCGATAGTTATTGCAGGAACAACGCGAACCCTTTTTAAAGATAGGGACGACTATTGACTCATTCCATGATGTTGGAACACTTTCTTGCTCCCAAACCTTTCCAAACAACACAGTCAATTCCTTAGTCAGAAAGTCGCCACCATCTTTAGAAAGAGCCGAAGGTAAGTCATCTGGGCCCGGTGATTTGTAGCGCTTCAAGAGTTGGAGTTCCTTGCGGACTTCCGCCTCGTTTGGTGGATCAGTCGTCACCGGCCATGGGGGGCAGGACAAGCAGGTTGATGTTGCCGGAGCAGCAGGCCATTTGAACTGCCCTTCGAAAAATTCCGCCCATCGTCCAAGACGTCGGGAGATGTTAGTGATTGGCATCCCATCATCCTCGTACATTGTTTCACTCACACCAGACTTCTTGCTGCCAGTGGCTCGGATGAGTTGGAAGAGCTTCCGGCAGTTACCAGATGCAGCTGCTGCTTCCATCTCATTAGCACGCTCCGACCACCAGGCTTCCCGGTCCTTACGCAAGCTTTGCCCAATTTCATTACGTAACAGCCTTCGTTTGTGGTCAAACTCACGGTCACCCGGAGTAGACCGACGGGCTTCCATCAGTTGTAAGGAGCCAGAAGAAACCCAGTGCTTGTAAGCGGGACGTTTCGCGAAGCCGCAAGCGGCTTTACTCGCCATTTTCATGGCGTCGTTTAGATGCAACCAATGCTCATCTATACTTTTCGGTGGGGTGTTAGCTAGCCTAGAGGCTAGCTCCGCTCGGTACTTACTTGCAACAGGAGTTGCAGCCAGTTTACTAATATCAATCCGTTGGTGGTGGTCAATCCTTCGGCCACTGAAAAGTAAGGTGAGATTGGCGCAGACCAGGGCATGATCAGACTCCAGATAGGTACTCCAAAAGGAGCGGCAGTCTTGTACACAACCACGCCAGCGGTAGCTGATCGCGATGTGATCAATCTGAGTCCAGGCTTGGGATGCAGAGGGAGGACGCCAGGTGGCACACCGGCGATGACTGTGCCGGAAGTTAGTGCTGGCCAGAAACAGGTTGTGGTCTGTGCACAGTTGCAGCAAACGGTCCCCGTTATCTGTCCGGCGACCAACAAGTCCCCATCGGCCACCTAGACGACTCTCTTCTGTGCCTAGACGCCCGACCTGTGCATTCAAGTCTCCGGCTAGTACTACAATATCTGTCGAACGCGCTTTCTGGAGAAGAACTGTTAACTGATGGTAAAACTCATCCTTGATTGCATCCGGGCTGCAATCTGTCGGGGCATAGGCGGAGATGACGAAAAGACACCGTTTCTCACGCCGGTTTCTTCTCACTTTGATGGAACTTTCTAATCTAACAGCACATAACCGACTGTTAATGGGGAACCAATCGATTAGTGCTGCCTCAGCCCTGGCGCTTAGTGCGACACCAACGCCAGCAAGACCAGACGAAGATGCCACAGGGTCCCCGGATAAGCGCACGTGGAACAAGCTTTTCGAGACAGATGGAGAGCGGATTTGTAGTACTTCACTAGAGTCTTGAATATGGGTCTCGGATAGACAGCAAACATCAACATTAAGACCTTCCAAAGACATAGCCAGCCCTATCTGTTGTCTGATCTGCATTAGTGTGCGAACGTTGAAGGAAGCCAGCTTGAACGGCGTACGCGGTTTCAGAAAGACTGCCTCAGTATTCATTATCGGTGGAAGCATTCACTTTCAACCAGACAGTGACTGGAGATCGTTTAGATAGGACAGATTTTCCACCAAGAGCGAGCTGATGCATAAGTTGAAGAGTAAGGTTACACAAATTGGGGGTAAAAGGGGGTGAATTAGCGATATGGTAAGTAATAATAATAATAATAATAATAATAATAATAATAGTAATAATAATAATGATAATAATAACGTAAATTGTCTTGCTTATAATATGAGCAAGAATAGAATCGTCAATAGAGTTCGTCATTTCATTCATTTGTGTGTGGGCTGTGATACTGCCCGGGTGCCCAAACCGAAGCAGGTGGTTTTCTTAGGGGGCCACACCCGGAGC